CTATTAAAAAAAATGAAAATTGCTGTGACCTTCCCCTCAATTATCCCTTTGACAAGATGGAATCAAATAATAATATTGGCCAATAGCGAACATGCTTTGCCCAGAAGTAAAAGATATATTCTCTGGTCTTAACTCAGTTTTTCCTCTCAATTTTTATTTTTGTAAAAATTTTATAACCATAAAGAAACTTTTAAAAATCAATTGTATTCATTGACAGAGAAGTTGACATAACATGTTTTCATTTTTTTTTTCTTGTTTTCTTATAATCCTTGCTCATAGCAGGGTGACCAACCATCCAGTTTGGCTAAGTCTGAGGGATTTCCTAAGATGTAGGATTTTCAGTGTTAAAACCAAGATTGTCTGAGGCAAACAGGATGGTTCATCACCCTACTTCATAGTAATACATAACTTTACCCAGTTGCAATCACTGCATAATATAATCTGCCTTTTATACATCATAATATATCATAGATTTTTTCTTTATTGATATACAGTTTTCATAAGCATCACTTTTAATTGCAATTTAAGATTTAGTGAATCAATAAAATAAATTCACCATTCTTCTATAATTGGGTACTTAGGGTATTTCCTCTTTTTCTTTTTTGCAAATCACTTTTGGAACTGCAAAGATTGTGAGCAAGACATGTATTTTCTTTTATCGTTATTCAAATGTGGCTTCATATTTCAAGCCCAAACTCTACCAGCAGGAAGTACTGGTGCCTGTTAAAAACCAGGAAATTTAATTTCACTTTGACAAGAGAATAGTCAAAGATCCAACACACAAAAATGACATCCTCCGATTGATTTAACATGAGTTCATTTATGGAATCCGATTTAAGTTCTTGGTAAAAAATCTAAAACACTGATTGGCTGGGGTGGGGTGGTGTTCAAATCTGAAATCTCCCTAGGTTAAGTCTTCAATCCTTAGAGGGGTTTCCTTTGATTCAAAACCTGGCTGTGTGTTCTGAGCTAAAGTGGACCAAGCAATAAATTAATATGGTAGAGTTGTGTGGCAAAATCAAAGCAAAGTTAGGATTATACCCTTTTGACCCAGTCTACTCTGCAGTACAAAATGGTGAGCAACAATGAACAAGTAGTCTCCTCTTAGAGCTTACTATCTGGTTGGAGAAAGAAACTAGTAAACTATCCATCAGGCACCTTTTATGGGCAAGGCATTCTGTTAAATATAGAGGGTATGTCTAAAGATAAGAGAAGCCCCTGATCTCAAAAGCCTTAGTGCCAAATTGAAGGTGATAAAAATGTAGCAGAGGTTCAAGAAAATTCAGTGGGAAAAGAATAGTCTTTTGAACAAATGGTGGCAGAACAACTGGATAGCCACATGCAAAAGAATGAAATTGGACCTTTACCTTTACCATATACAAAAATTAATTCAAAATAGATAAGAGGCCTAAATGTAGGAGCTAAAACTATAAAACTCTCAGGAGGAAACATAGGTATAAATTTTGTAAGACTGGATTGGGCAATGGGTTCTTACATATGACAACAGAGCCACAAGCAACCAAGAAAACGATAGATGAAGTGGACATCATCAAGATTTAAAACTTGTACTTCAAAGGAAACTATAAAGAAAATTCAGAGTCTGTGGCTACAGGGACATGGACTCTCCCCATGTCTGGATCTCACCGACTTTTTCCGAGGTCAATGGGCATTCACAGACTTCCTGATTTTAGTGGCTGCCTGGTTGTTGATCTATTATGCTCCCTTGATGCACTGAAGTAATGCCATCATGATGACCAGGTGGCAGAGTAGAGGCTTCTCCAGCCTGCCTCATCCACTTGGAAGAAGCAAAACGGTGTGTAGAGATTCACACTGTGAACTTTTATTCAAGAAGGAACACTGTAATTCAACAGAAAAGCAAAGAAAACTGCAGATCCCAGGGAAAGAAGGT